TCAAATTTTGTCAATTCACTTATGTAAAAGAAAACATTACAGTAAGACAGGGTACCTGGCTGCTAACTAGCTAGGTTGCATCTGCTTCACAAAAAACCAGTGTAATATTGAATCTGTTAGATAACTGTAATGTCACCAAATGCACCCATGGCAGTTATTTCTTCTAATTTTTTTCACTTGCTCTTTTGCGCCCACTAAAGAAATGGCCCCGTGGCAAACAAATAGCCCTACTGGCAAGTCGGCGCCCCTTTCTAAGTTGGTGCCCTAGGCGGTCGCCTATGTCGCATAAGGACAGGCTAGCCCTGCTGGCAAGTCGGCGCCCCTTTCTAAGTTGGCGCCCTAGGCGGTCGCCTATGTCGCATAAGGGCAGGTTAGCCCTGCTGGCAAGTCGGAGCCCCTTTCTAAGTTGGCGCCCTACGCGGTCGCTTATGTCGCATAAGGGCAGGTTAGCCCTGCTGGCAAGTCGGAGCCCCTTTCTACTTACCTCTGGTCAGGAGATGATGCGTAGCTCTGCCTTGTTGGACTCCAGTGCTGCGGATAATTTAGTAGATGTGGATTTTGTTCAACGACATGCCATACCCTTAAAGCCAGTTTTGCCTCACCTCCTAGTCGGGGCTGTGGACAGAACTCCTCTAACTGGTGGTGTTGTGACCAAATTATGGCCAGAAGCTCCTGGTTGCCCACATCATCATCTTCGAGAAGACCCCCACCAGTCAATGACTGCTTCCATAGAAGCTGTAAAGCATACCATATTGCCCATCACTGGCTCTGTCTCTACTCCAAGCTCCAGAAGGACCAAGCCAACCGTCTGCACCAACCCATTCCAAAACTGCATCCTGGTCCATATGTGTGGTTAACCACCAGGAAACTCCGACGGCCCTCCTCTCGCAAGATTCCCCCATATACATTGGCCTGTTCTGGATCCTCAGCCAGGTTGGCCCAAGTTGCAGCTACCCAGAGTCGATCACATCACTCCCCCATGTCTCATGTGTCTCAACTAAAGCCGGTGAAGTGCAACTAGGCTTTCTCCTCCTCCACCCAATCCTCTAGCGGATGGAAAGGCCTTTGCCATCTGAGCCCTGCTCGCTTACCAGCACTGATGAGAACATCTGCAGTACCTCAGGGACTGGGACTGGTTCAGCCCAAAGGAATGTGCCTGGATTCCAGCCACCGATGTCCGTGATCCCAACCTGGTAGCAGACGCTGACCTGCCCTGTGTACTTACCTTCCTTGTTGTGTATCTTTGTAGGACTGATTCCCCTGACTCCCGACTTCTCTGCGCTCCCCATCAAGACGAGATCAGCCCGTCGATTCTTTCGTCAGTTTCATTGTTCCCTTAATAAAACCCCTGCTCTGCATTTGGGTCTCTGCGATTCTGTGTAACACAGGTAAGATCTCTGAGCATAAGGGCCAATTGGCACCTTAGGAGCTCCATCCCTCCAATCACTGCCATCCTAAATAAGAACCCACAAGAAACACACTGCTTCACATCCAATCACACACTGCTTCACATCCAATCACACTGCTTCACATCCAATCACACACTGCTTCACATCCAATCACACTGCTTCNTCACATCCAATCACACACTGCTTCACATCCAATCACACTGCTTCACATCCAATCACACACTGCTTCACATCCAATCACACTGCTTCACATCCAATTACACACTGCTTCACATCCAATCACCCACTATAGAAGCTTCATCAGCTAATTGACTTCATAAGCTCATTTGCACACCAACCAAGCTGTTTGTACACTATTGTTTGTCTCACTTTATGTTGTCTATTTATTATTTGAACACCATTATTTCTAGTGTCTACCTCTATTTCACTTTTATTCTGCTTATTTTTATGTGTTTATGTCACGCCACCACCTGCACCAAAACAAATTCTTTGTATTTTTGTACTTGCCGAGTAAAAAGACTGATTCTAATTCTAAAAACTCTTTTTGCATCATGTGATTGCCAGGTGAGAGCACGTAGCACTTCAGCGCTTTTTACTCTGTCTTTTCATGCGGACTATATCATGTGACAACGTTGTCGCCTGTCTGCACCTAGCAAATGTGTCGCGATTCCTAGGAAATTTGGCTCTAAATTGTTATTGGCAGTCAGACGCCATGGGAGCGTATCTAGTTTACCCAGCAGGCGTGTTTGGTCAAACAGACTGCTGTTCAGACGTGCGAGGGGCCGCCAGCCTTCATTCAAAGCGGAGCCTCATCCGGGAAACACCCATCACTAGTAAATGCCATTCTTACCGGCACAAAAGCAAGGCCTGCCTAGCATCAATGGCGTCTACCCCATGTCGTAATGTATGCATATTAAACTTTAATGTATACTTTGTGTGTGTATATATTATTTATTATTATCGGTATTGCGTTAACCACCCGCTGCCCATACACCTTCGCCCTTTGGCAGAAGAGCTGGCTAACACGTAGCCATGCATCGTAAATGAAAATTATGAAAACTTCTTTTACTTGTAATCTTTTAACATAATTCTTGTAAAAATGCTGAACACTGCATGTTGAGTCGCATTAGCAGAAAAGTATGTCTTGAAAAGTATTTAATCACGTAAATTTATATTAAACATATACATATGACTTTAATGTAGTAATCCATGATTATGTTTTTGATATGCGGCGCTTATGACTGTACAATAACGTAGCCTCCAACTACAGTTAATTTACTTTAATTAAAATAGCCTCGTAAATATAAAAACTTATTAGCATAAAACCCCAGTGTGCTCCAGGCTTATATTAAATTGGACATTGCTAAGGTACATTAGATAAACTGTACACAACAATTTTTAGATTTTTTCCCCTGAAATCCTCGCGATCGCAAAACAAATTACAAAGCCAAGGAAAACGCAAACATGCTCACTATATTAATTTGAAATTCAGTTTTAATTAAAAGGGGCAACAATTTAGCGCCAGATAAATAAGCAAAGACGGAACCAACTAAATCTGACCCTTTCAACATTTCGGCCTTACTGTGTACATACTGTAGACCTATATTCGAGACAGATCGCCTTTGCCAGATCACTCATCTTAGCAATCAATTTAATGTAGCACTTTAAAGCACAATTTACGACCAGCCACGCTTTCCTTGGCGTAATTGAAATTAGCGAAAAGACATTTAATCAATACAGAATTATCCGCATCGTATGCATAAATAGCCTACTTGCATATGAAGAGATAATGTTACGCAAATTAGCATATTAAAGAAATGCCGCAAAAGCAGGTTTAAAATTGCTATAGACGTTGTTAGTCGTATTAGAAGAAGCTTAAGCAGCTGCTTGCTGAGTGGACTGCTTGAGTCAATACGATTTAATTATTATACACTGTGAATCAATGTGCTGAAAATACCGATTGCAAAGATAAGGTCATGATTATACCAAAGTATATGCATTTATTAGCCACTCGGGGGCGCCACGAAGCAACTTTACAAATAATAAAAATCAAAAGTCCGGGTTAGAGCAACCTATGTATCTTATCCAATTAACTGTTCATGTTATTTTAAATAATATATTGTCTGATTTTTCATTGTCCATTCACGTGTGACGGGAAATGCATGGAAGGCAGGGGAGAAGGTGGAAAAGCGGCGTGAGGCGGGCTGCCGACTGGGACGTGTCCGGCATCACCGCCTCCAGAGCGCAGAGCTGGCTAGAAGGACACGGAGCCTGTGGCAGACAGCCCCGGATCGGAGGGTGCTGCCACTGTCCTCGCTGCCTGCTCGCTGTAAATAAAACCGGGGAGCAAAGAGCTGCAGTCGAAGCCTAAGGTTTATACTCCCTTCAACATTAAAAATGGTTGAACGCTAAAGCAAATTAATTTCGTCTCCATTATGTCGGTAAATGCGCAGCCATGTGAATGTCATTAAACGAAAGGACGAGTTAAGATCAATAATATTGAACAGTGCAATTTCATTTGGTAAATCTGCATATATCAGCGGCGTTATAAGCCGCAGATATCGCACTGCTCGTTTACTGACAGGGTGGATAGGGGGTAGGGTTGTGAGTTCCGGACAAATAACCCAGATAATTAGTCGCGACAGTTTAAGTCTGTACATTAGATCGCACACAGTATAAGACCTGCTAGTGTAGCGAGTAATAGGCTAAGTCAATAAATTACGCGACTCTGCATAGTGCATGCAGGTATAGAAAATGGCTGGAAGGATGGTTGGAAATGGTTAGATTTTTAACCGATGAATGCCTTTTAATGATAAATGGCGGGTGGGAAGGATAATCCAAATTAAGCACGCCAACTGATGCAGCATCTAAAATATATTTATTAGATTTTAAGTATTTTTGCGCCCTTAACCACAAAATAGCTACTGCTTCGGGTGTGTTAGATGACAGACCCCACGCTTTGGCCCCAATCCTCATTCTCACACAGGCCTGGACCAGGATTAAAATGGATACATGTTGCCGACCCACACACCCATCGTCCCACCAGGAACATGCCCGATATGCCAGATCCAGGGCTGCTCACATCTGTACATAAGCCAGCGTGTGTCACATAACAAATAAAAACGGAATATACGAAAACCAAATAATTTCTATGCACCTGTAGAAATGACCAACAAACTATATAAAGGTTATGAATGGTTCTTGAATAGTCTTATTAGGTTCGTGCTTGTTAGAAGTTGTGTGGCTCCTGCTCCATTCATTACTGCTTATACTCGTACCTGGGCTGCCTTTGGAAGCTCAGCCCAGCCGACTCCTTGACAGGAAGTAAGATTGCAATGTTCTGTTCGGCTCACTTGTACTTTGCTTTCGACAATCGGGTCTGCTAAATGTGTAAAATGCAATGTAAATGTAAATACTGCGCTGTTGCGTTTCTTCCGATTTTAGGCCAATGTACCAATGTACCGTGTCAACATGCCTATTATCCTTCATTTTGCATGAGATTTTTCAATTTTAATTTTATTAAGCCAGTAGAACTACAGCTCCCATGTAGCCGCTGGTTCCTCCGGAGCCCTGACAGGCGGAGCCGCTGCTGGGGGGCAGGCAGGCAGGCGGGGGCGGAGTGGGCGGCGGTAGCACCGCCTGGTTGCTCCTGGGAAACACCCTTTAGTTAATTATTTGCCTATCATGTGTGTTTTTTGAGCTGAGCTGGAGAAGTGCTCTGCCGGAGGGGTCCCTGCAGGGCATAAAGCGGAGCTTCGGACCCGAAATGCCCTTACGGAGGGGAGGGACTTTGGTACTGCACTGCACCGCACCGCACCAGGGGTAATGTGAAGGCTGGGCGACTCTGCGAAATGCAACCCGATGTAATTAAGGAAGGATCAACGTTTGTCTAATAATGTAAATGCACTGAAAGTTACGATTGCAACGTAATCAGCAGCGGCCGGGGTCTGCGCACCGGAGACGGCGTGGACATCGGCACCATGATTCGAAGGGGACTGGACCGCTTGGTACGTAGGACGAACGCGCGCAGCTCCGCATGCAGAGCGCTTAGGGTTGAATGAGAGCGAAGCAGTGGCTTTGCTGGGCTTTCCTGTTTCCTGTCACACTTGCATGTATTCCATCCAGAATAGTGGCTTGTGTGTGTGTGCTGCGGTTTTCACACAGTGTGCTTGTCGACTTCACTCAATGCTGTTACTTCTACTATATGTATCTGAGCACTAGTTGCCAGTTTGGGTCGTGGCGCGAGACTTGTATTCTAACCTTAAATGAAAGTTTCTGTTCTTTTGCGTTAATGAAATTAGACCTCGAATTTCCTGAAACACAGTAAAATCTGCATTTAGGTAAAAATGCAATTAGGAAAGTGCCATGCAGCCTGGGATCTGCGTCTCCTGCTTTTCTTAAATATTTAATTTACTAATGCTTTCTTCTGATGCCACCGGCGTCATGCCGGACGCGTCTGCTTGACTGGCGCTCCATTTCCCTGGTCCACGCCAGCTGTTTTGGTAATGATGTTGTTATGTTATAGTCGTGTGTTTAACCGGAGGCTTCTTCTAAATCCATACGTTTGTGTTTGTGTGTGTGGCCAGTAGGATCAGTAATCGGGGAGGTGTCCTGTTCAGGTCACCAGAATTCTCCCTGTCTGCTCCTGAATTAAGGTCCCTCTAAGTTAATATTACGGTTTAAAATAAATGGTATCCGTAATATACTCTTTACAGTGTGTGACATTAATCTAGATCTTGTGTATCTAAAACATAAGGGAAGACCTCTCTGTTAACAAAATGCTGTTACTCTGACCCGCCCCCCCTAGACGCCGTTACTCGGCCTCGGACTCTGACCCGCCCCCCTAGACGCCGTTACTCGGCCTCGGACTCTGACCCGCCCCCCCCTCCGAGATGCCGTTACTCGGCCGCGGACTCTGACCCGCCCCCCCTAGACGCCGTTACTCGGCCGCGGACTCTGGGTCCTTGCTGGGGTAATAAGCAGGGTTTTACCAGTTCTTCACAGTGGGCATCTGTTTTCCCTGGAGGGGGGAAGAAACGCCAGACCACAGGGCAAATGTGTCAGAAGGTGATAGTGTAGTGGTCAGGGAAACCTTCTGGCTCTCATGTCTCAAACGGTGTGGTTGCTGACTCCTTCGGGAATTGGAGATGCTGCCTCCTGCCTCGGGGGTGCAGTGCAGTGGAGGGGCTTCTGTGGAGGCCTCTGGCTGCCCTTCCCGTCGCCACCCTGCCTGCTTTTCTTGCTTCTTCGGCTATGGCTTGTCCCTCCAGCACTCTTGCGGGCTGATGCCCTGAGGCCGTGCTCCTCTCAAAAGCTTCCAGAAGCCTTTTGTGTTTGGACATGTATGTTTATTCATTGAGCAGAGGCTTTCTAAGGTGGCGTTACAAACATACGGCTGTCAGGGAGCCCAGCTTCCAGCGAATTCACAGTGACGGCTGCGAGTTCGAAAGAGCTACGCGGCATGTACAAACATGGGAAGAACCAAACAAAAGAGCTATTTAAATGAGAAACATGTGCAAGAGACAAGAGTGTTTAGGATACCCAGGAGACTCGCCAACGGATCCCAGATGCAGCCAGAGCAGGTCAGTGGTCGGAGGCGAAGCTGAGGTCTTCCCAGGACGTCCTGGCTTAGCTTCAACAACATAACATAACCGTCAGCACCGATCCGTCCTGCCTCGGTCTGGGTGCTTTTGGGGCTGTGAGAGGTCTGTCTTCCCGGTGGAGCTGGACACCCTTTACATCTGTGCCGCGCTCTGCAGTAAATACAGGCTAATGCTGGGCCGCAAACATTTTGATGCGTGAATTTGATCTCGGCCGTCAGGTGGCCTGACCCCCCCCCCCCCGGGGAGTCCCCCTGCCTTGTGCTTACTGGAATGGGCTTCAGGCTCTGGGACCCAGTGCTGGATGAGTACTTGTCCATCGGGGGTGTGCTTCATTTCTGGTGTAAATCGGAGCCCCCATATCTGCACCCTATCTAAGACCTACTGTGGGTAGCAGTGAACACCATGTATAATGTGTTTTTTTTGTGTAGATACATACCTATGATAGTATAATTTAGAAATAGCACACAATAAGATTATCAATAACTAATAATAAAATAAGACAATCATAACTACTGTAATGAAAGTTGTGTGAATGTTGCGTCTGTCTCTCAGATGAGTGGGATTCTGACTTTTTGCTTAACCGTCAATGGACAACAGCAATGAAGAGTATCGTGCGCAACACTTTTATGTTAATGTGCAATTTTATTTCTTAAATATCTTAGTCTATTGCCTGTACTTACCTTCCTCGTAATGTTTTGGGGCCACAGTAGACAGTGGGTAACTGAAACTGCGGATACCGAATCAGCGGATACCAGGGTTCCACTCTACTTGTAGTAACGATGTAGTATATCTGAGCGTAGTCAGAGCTGAAAGACCGCCATACACTGCCTCCCGGCTGCGTCCCGGCTGCGCCCCGGCTGCGTCCCGGCTGCGTCCCGGCTGCGCCACTCTCTCGTCAGGTCCATTCCCTCCCTCGAAGTGGCCGCAGGATCTCTGCACACCTCTTGGGTTCCATTAAGCCGCCGGCATGGGAGCGAGTCAGACCGGTTCCAGAGGTGTTCCTGTCACCTGGACAGCGCAGCCACTTTGGCGGGGGGGGGGTCGAGCCTTTAAATCCCATCTGGGTGCTCTCACGGGGAGCTCCTCGCATCGATTTCCGTCAGGCTGTGCGGTCGTCGCCGTTTGTCTTGCCCCTGAGCTGCCTTACCGCAGCCCCGCCCCCCTCCCAGGAGAAACCGGAGGCCATAAATACACCGGCAGCTGGGGGGAGGGTGTGTGTGTGAGGAGCCTGGGGTAATAGAAGCAGGAGGAGTGCCCTGGTTGTGGGCAGGCCAGTCCCACGCAGGAACTGTGTTGGCCTTGGTGACTACAAAACATGCTGCTGATTTATTTTCTCCATCTGGTGCCTGAATTTTGAATAATTCACCCTTTTCTGGCTCTGCTGACACTGGCACAGGGGCAGCCCTTTTTGGGGGAGGGGGAGGTCCTGTCCTTGTGTGTGTCCTCAGGGGCAGCTGACCCCCCCTCTCCTAGGCATGGGAATGTCCCGTATGCAAGCCTGCTGGTCAAAAATGTGTCCCATACGTCTGTGTGAGAGCAGCAGCCTGACAATCCCGCCTGGCAGCTGAGCCTCCCTAACCTGCTCCTTTTCAATATGACACATTATCTGAATAGCGCCACCGGCTGCCAGTGAGAAGTAAACAATTGTTTCTCAAGCTTGTCGGGGTCTGCATGCACATTCCCCCGAAAATCTCCCCAGTCCAAACACTGTATCTGTTTCATTCGCTGCTGTTTTTGCCTGAGTGGGGCTCCTCCTAAGCCCCGCATGCTGACTTGCTGCTTTGCGTTTCAGTTTTTCAGTGCTGCGGGGTCATGGTAACTGTGGCTCTCTTGTCATGCCACGCGGCTGCTCATTTTTAGCTGCCTTTCATCGCACTTGCCTGGGATTTGAGCTCTGTGCCTTTGGTTGTAGTAATTAGTTCCCCCCAATCAGCACTAATCACCCACAGGTGTCAGTCTCGGGAGTAACCTGGAAGAGCAGTGAGCCTCGTTACTCGGTGCCACAGTATTTAGATCTGCTGAAAGGAACTCGTGTGTCTTTCTGAGGCCTGCAGTCGTTTTTTTGTCCACTTGATCTGAAACTGCTAGTGTTTTTTTTTTATTATTTTTTTCTACCATTTTGTGTTTCCTTCTTAGTTAAAAGTGACACCTGATAAAACTTTGTCGATCTGATAGCTGCATAAAACTCGCTGGGGGACTGGTTGCATATCTCTGGCTTCCAGTGAATATGTAACTGTCCCCCCCCCTCCCCGCAGGGTCACTGACTCTCTGTTTATCGTGCATGTTTGCTACAACCCCCCCCTCCCCCCGACAGATTGACCCACCATGTTCGCCGGGCTGTTCCTCTCGCAAAAGGCTTTCGCTGTTTCGGGAATGTCGAGACCTGTCTGCAGATTCCTCGCTTCTCGGCGATGCATCTCACCATGTACTTTGTGCAGTACTCCAGGGTGTTGTTTTTGTGCAGGAATGGAGGGGGGGGGGTGTAGGCTTGGCATCACAAACGTGGCCACCACTCTTCCTCCCTGCATATTAGTCTGTAATTAAAGAAATTGATTAGTCTGTTGTTCTTAATCAGGTCGCTTTGCTGTAATGAGGAAATGTGGTTAGTAATCTGTCACTCCGTGTGCTGATGCGACGTTTAAAGCCCCATCAGGTATTGACTGAAGACGGGCGAGTGATTTTGGTGCCCGGGGCAGGGGTGGGTGGGTCAGCCGTTAGCGTGCTGCTAGGGACAGGAGCGTGTGCCCTGGCGAGGCTCCGTCTACTCATTGTGTTGTTTTGGTACTTACAAATGCCCCCCGGTCACCAGCGGTTCCTGTGAGTAACATTCCCTGCCCGGATCCCATGCATTTTACGCCCAGATTTTCGACACCGGCAGTGTTACACATGCCGTCATTTGCAGCTCTTGTTAGTTAATGAGCTAATCATTAACCATGATCCAGAATAACCAGCACTGCAGACTTTGGTCCCCAGTCACGCTGTGAGTAGCTCATGCAAAAACAGGGCTAAACAGGAAATGACCTCATGAGTGCGCCGAACGCCGCTTCGGGTGCTGGGCTGCCACCAGCCCGCGGATAGAAACTCACACTCGTGTGTCTCATGCAAATGGACGTGCACGGTGCTTTCGTGATGGTGAGGATGAGGCAGTTTGGGCTGCAGGTGGGGGGGACGTGTACCTTCATTGGCCTGCTGGACGGCATCGGGACAGCGGAGTGGCAGGGTTAGGGGTCAGGGTTACACTTTTAGGCAAACCTTAAACTCTGTGGTGAAGCGATACATCAGATATGAAGTTATGCATTCAAAAAATGTCCCTTGACTTTCAGTAGCAGGTAAAGTCTGCACCCTGAAGAACAGGCTCAGCTTTCTGCTTATGATGCATGTGGAAACACCCCCTTCATGCTGGACCAGCTCTTCCCATTTTCATATGGGTGTTGCATCATGGCCCGAGGCTGGTGCTTAACAGTGTGTCTCTGGGCCAACCAGCCAAACCAGCAGGTTGAGGACTGGGTAAGCAGTGACCTGTGTGCGTGATCCCTGTGTAAATGGGGCGGTACTGCAGATAGACCGTACTGTCAACAAGCTCCTCTCCCTGACTGTTTTGTGTTCCCTCAAAGTCCTGTTTGACAGGAACACTCCTCATCCATATTAACCAGTTTAGTCAATGATTGGTCAGTCGAAAGTTAACTTGCTGTCCCAGTGTGCGTCAAAGCCTTTTAGGCCTTGAATGATGCCTGTCGGGGTCAGGTATTGCGTGGTGTGGTAGGTATCGGCTGGTAATGAGTCAAGGCCCCATGTGATTGGTTTTGCGTCAGAGCCCAAACTGTGCTAGGGTCAGAGCCAATGTGAATTCTTCGCCTCAGAGTTTAGTCTGGTTAGCTGATGCTTTTGGTTCTTGTTTGGGAAGGTGAAGCAAAAGGTTTGAATTTGGTTCTAGGGGGTTGTGTGGCTCAGTTTGTTAGGGTGCTGTACCTGTGACTAGAAGGTCATAGGTTCAAAACCCAGGGTAGGCAGAGCGGTAAACCACTGGGCCCTTTACCCCCAATTGCTCCAGGAACTGGCTGGCCCTGCATTCTGAAAAACGTGCACTGCTGTGGATTAAGTAAATAAACATAAGGTCCATGATGTGAGAGTAATTGAGCTGAATGCGACCCTGTCCTGGTAACATCAAGCCGTGGGATCTGTGTTTAAAACACAGTCTCATTCCTGCAGCCCATAGCCCCCCTGTCGCTGGTGCTGTGTGTGAGTGCTTGCTTGGCTAATCGCTCGTAAATGTGCAGGATCGCTGGCCGTCCTGCCAACTTCTGTTGCTTCAGCAAACACACCCGCACACATCAAAACATACTTCTCAGAAGGGCTGATCTGCTTTTTGATCTCTCTCTGACCTGATGCCCAGACTGCTTGGTGTGTGTGTGTGTGTGTGTGTGTGTGTGTGTGTACACACGCATGCACGCGTTCACCCTGTATCATGTGGGCTAACTCCAGGTTTCCTTGTTAGTTAAGTTGATTAATTAATTAGAAACATGACGTATTGCTTTGTACGTAAACTGATCCTGGTGTGAACCCACTCTATGATCATCCATGCATCCATCCATCCATCCATTTTCTGTACCCACCTGTCCTTTTTTGGGGTTACTGGGATCTGGCGCCTATCCCAGAGGCAATGGGCACAAGCCAGGGAACAACCCAGGATGGGGCACCAAACCATCACAGGGCGCATTCACACACCATTCACACCTATGGGCAATTTGGTAACTCCAGCTCACCTTGGCCTGTTTTTGAACTGGGGGGAGTAGGAACCCCACAATGACACAGGGAGAACATGCAAACTCCACACACGCAGCAGAGACTCGAACCCTGATCACACTACAGTGAGGTGACAGTGCTGCCCAATGTGCTGCCCGTTGTGTGTAATAATTTACAGTTTATTTAGCAGCCACTTAACTGAAATAACGTACGACTATGAAACCAGGGTCAGACGTCCTGTGAGCAAATGGGGCTTAAGGGCCTCTCAGGGCACCCAGCGGCCGAAACACTGCTGATACTGGGATTTGAACGAGTGTCCTTACCCATGGAGTCGCACCCCTCCCCACATGCACTATTCATTCCTCAGCCCTCTCTTTACCTTGGGATCTCCCCCCCCCCCCCCCAAATTCCCAGTTAATGACGACAGACCCCCATCCTCCTCTCCCCAAGCTGTCCGTTTGCCAGTGTGAGTACCCTGTACCCCTCCTCTGTGCTGATTTCGGGATTGCAGGATACCTGCCCCATTAAATGTCTCTTCCCCTTATCCTGAGTGCTGTGCCCTTTGTTGCCCCCTATAGCTTGGGAGAGGTGAGGGGAGAGCAGACAGCCGCACAGTCTATGTAGGACACGGAGCCTGGAGTCCTGCCCAGCCATTCACCCCGCCCAGATACTGTGACAACAGGATTGTGTCGTCCAAGGTATGGAGCGCCCTCTGCAGGTGGGGTGATGAGCTGCTTCTTCATGTGCAGTTAATGAACATGCTGTAATACACACTAGTGTTGTCATGATACCAAATTATGACCTCTATAGTTACCACTTTTTTGTTCTGTGAAATTTTTACTTGAGTTAAAGTACTGGAGTACTTGCTTTTAAATACTTAAATATTCAAAAGTACATTTTCTTTTTAATGTAAATGCATTGCTGTATTGTTGCCTTAATGCATTGACAGAACTCAATTACTCTGAACCAGCCTACTAAATGCACCGACTTGCTTGTAGAAGCTGTAGAATAAAAAGTTTGTGGAATATGATACAATGCATATAGAAACACAATTCAATCGGAAAGAGCAGAGCCATCGCCATTTTTATTTCATTTTTTAACACCCCCACCTCTACCAAACAGCATGGTAGTGACACAGTTTTGGCTGTGTGTGTGTGTGTGTGTGTGTATGTGTGTGTTCATGTATATGTACATGCATGCATCAGGCAGACAGTGTAATTGCTGTGGATGCAACTTCCTCAGAAAATAAAAAAATAAATAAAATAGCCGACCTACCTTCAAATCCACACCCTTAGCTTTATAACTGCCCAACAACAACTTGACTGACAGCATAGGAACAGTTTACTGCGATTGTGTTGCATTTTAGAAAAGAAAATTCCTCCACTGATTTGAGTAACGAGAACCTTCACAGAAATGCCGTGCGATCAGAAGTTCAATATTTTGAATGTAGTAAAAGTCATTAGTTTCCCAAAAAGCTGATACTCAAAGTACAGATACTCAAAAAATGTACACAAGTACAGTACTCAAGTAACTGTACTTTGTTCCTGTCCACCTCTGTGTAATAGTGTAATTAGTATTGATATTAAAGAAATCAGTATGTTTAGTACCGGCACATTAAAAAATGTGGCACCTTTTCAGTACCTGGATCCCATACTAACACACACACACACACACTATATACGTAACCAAACAAAGTTAGTTACCAAACAAAATATGAGACTTTTGGCATTTTTAATTTTTTGATTACATTCACAGATCTTTGTGGGGAAAATAGTCCCCACAATGTGATATAAACCTAATACACACACACACTTTCTCTCTCTCTCTCTCTCCCTCCCTCTCACATAGTTTAAACCTTGGATTTATTAAAGCACAATGATTTTCTTTGTGCTGTTTAATGTTAGTATGACGAGGCTGTTTTCAGTTCCCCTGCTCTGCTGTCTGGCTGTCTTCCTTTCCCTCTTCCCTTTTTCATGCTTCCTGCACCATTTTGTATGAATATATACAATACAATATAATAGATTGCCACACACTCTTGTCAAGCACCTTGGAGTGTGAAAGGCGCTATATGAAATTTGGTATTGAACTGAGATGGGGCTGCACTAAATTTTCTTAAATTTAGATGAATTTGAAAAGGGAAGGATTTAAAAAAAAAAAAAAAAAAACATTGAAATGGACTACAATGGTTGCTTCCGTAAATCAGGAAGGTATGATATGCTTTGTTTTCAGGCTGTGGTTATACCACAGAGTGGCAGTAAAGATATGGGGAGGAGGGACATCAGACCGACAAAGGTCTGTGGTTCTTCACAGTGGGGGGGGGGGTGTCAAAAAATAAACAGGCTGCACAAGAATGCATTGGAAACACCCTGATGAGGTGGAAAGGTCTGTTACTTATGGCTGCTCAGTTGTTTGGAAGAAATGTAGGTATTTCAAACAACATAGCACTTCTTATTAAACTTACAATAAGGTAAAGGCTTTCTTTTACAAGGTTACAAAGCTTTTATTTTGCAAGGTTATTTTAAAAAGTGTGCAGTTTTATTTTACAATACTGACTGGGTCATGTTTAGTCTCCTAGGTGTTTGGGAATGTTCTCCGTCAACATTGATACATTCCTGGACACTGTGACACAGTTAAACACACAAATCCCTGTTAGCATCAATGTCCACAAATGCCCCTTAAGTTCTTTCACTGCGTGGGGCTTCCTCTCAAAAACCTTCTCCTTTACTACGCCCCCCCCCCCCCCCCCCCCCCAAAAAAAAAAGTCCATGAGTATCAGGTCAAGTGAATGTGGTGGCCAGTCAATGCTGCCACGTCCGCCGATCCCACGCCGTGGAAAGGTGTTGTCAAAACTGTATACCTACTTTTAAAAATAACTTTGTAAAATAAAAACTTTAGAAGTTTTATTACTTTGTGAAATACAAGAAGTATACTTAGGTTTGGCCCACCCTGTACAATAACATCAGAATATTAGGGAGCTGCAGCGCCTCACCCAGGCGTCCCTGGCTCCTGCGGGCCACCCTGTGGGACACCTCTCCACCTTCAGTGTTACTCTGATGCACGCTCTCACGCCCTCTCTCTCCCCCTCTCTCCCTCTTTCTGTACCTCTCATACACACATCATTCTGAGATGTGCAGGTCTGTGCAACGCCGACCTGTCAGTGAGACTCGTTTGGGAAGTGCTGAGGCGTTGGGGTGGGGTCATGGTGACAGATGTATTGTGCTTGCTGTAGATCCTACTTCAGTCCTCAGGCATGACTGTCTGATTGCGGCCCAAATTACTGTCAGTCAAATTCTCAAAGGGGGTGTTGGGCAGAGTCACACCAACTGAAGTCTGTGTGTGTGTGTGTGTGTGTGTGTGAGATGTAAACAACCCTGACCCCACTAAGGAGCAGATGGCTCTGTGACACTTCAGTGAAATCCCTGAGATGTGACTGCGCCGTGTGGCTCAGCAGTATAGGACGCTGGGTCTCTCATCCGAAGGTCGTCAGTTCAAATCCCAGGGTCAGCAGAGCATGGCCCTCACTCCCCCCCCCCCTCAGTTGTGTGTTACATAAAGGCATCTGCTAATTTAATAAAATATAAATATTGTACACATATGCAGAGACCCCACAGAGCATGAATATGCGTCACGCATCACGCCTTCTGATAACATCTGCAGAGTCTCTTCCTGTTTTAACTTATTTTTGATTTTTTTTCCCTTCTTGTCACTTTTCTCAATCTAAACTGCCTTTTAATGCGTTTTTTTTATTTTCTTGCAGTACACGTTGTGGAATTTCCTGCCAAAGAACCTGTTTGAGCAATTCAGGAGAATCGCCAACTTCTACTTCCTCATCATATTCCTGGTGCAGGGGGGGGGGGGGGTGAGCTTCAGGTAGGGGTCAGGCAGTGCGGTTGGTCCCTGAGATACGGCCCTGAGGTTACCTCGGCTTCTCTCGGCTCCTCTCACGGCTCCTCGGGTCGCTGAGAAGGTCACGATGTAGGGGGCGCCCTTCCGACCCATTTCCGACAGCCTTCCATGGTTGGGTGACGATGACAGTTGTCACCATCCGGTGCCATTTCCTCAGGAGCGCTCAACGTTTCCCTTTTGTATGGGTGGGTCCTTTCGAGGTGGAGTCCAATGTGTAGCCGTGAGAAATGCAGGCCGGAAAGTACTGGAAGCTCCTTGTCGGAGGCACCCCAGCGGGTCCCATTTATCACTGTGCAGAGCGGAGCCCTCTTCTGTGTGACTGAACTACAAGCAGAAGAGCAACTCTTGGACTGATCTGCCAGGTGCTGTCAGAACACCAGCGGAACTAGCAAAGAACCGGTAGATACTAAGCAGGCTGCCCGCGGTTCCAGTTTGACGCAGCCACATAAACTCTTTGGTGGATCCTCCAGATGTTCTCCAGGTTCTTTCAGAGCCTTCTGTCCGTCGTGCCCAGTCTCTCCATTGTCAGAACTCGCCGGGGGGGCTGATTGGTTAATTGTGTGTGTGTGTCTGTGTGTGTGTGGGGCTCCTTGTAGACAGGGCGTCTGATCTCAGCACTTTCTGGCTGCGTCTCTTTGCGTCGTTGATCACAGGATAGCGCTGAGATGCACTTCATCCATTTATTACATGGAAAAATGATGCACTTTGTTTCTGCTGCACCCACCCCAGACCTGGCTCAGATGAGTGCTCTGTTCTGCTTAATGGACTTACTGCACATCAAGGAGTCAGGCCTGGGGAGGGGGGGGGCTATTGGATCCGGTGATGCCTTGTCTGTGAGCTGGGGTCCTTTCTGACCCCCCACTGACCCAGTCAGACACCTCTGCTAGTTCTGTCTGTGTGGCCAGTCTGTTAACACACAGTGGGAAGCAGGCCTACAGTGCTTAAATCCCAGGCCCTGGACAAATTAACTTCAATCGGGCCCCCATGATGCGTAACTCCTCCCCCCTTGGCCCCTGTGGAGATGGTAAGGCCCGCAGGTCTGTGACCAGGGAGACCTGCAGGTTCACCGCTGTCTTTAGGGTTGTCCTGTGTGTCCTGTGACGCATCCTGCTTCCTCCTAAGAGGTCGGAGTTTCCGTTATTTCCTGGGTGAATTCGGTGACAGAGAGCGAGACTGGTGGCCATGTAGCAGCACAGGAAGCTGGCTGTCAGTGAGCTGGCTACCTCCTATAGCCACTTTGTGGCCAGATAAGGATCAGCCATCAGAGACAGGAAGTGTGGGTAGATTGGGTGGTGTGTGTGTGTGTGTGTGTGTGTGTGTGTGTGTGTGTGTGTGAGAGAGACTAAAAATGTCCTGTGCTTTGTTTGGTTAATTATGGTTATGGTTGGGCCTGGGTCAGGGTGAAAGATGCCATCGATGGGATTAGGGGTTTTTGCATAGAAAATGAATGAACGGTCCCCACAAAGATATGAATACAAATATGTGTTTGTGTGAGAGAGAGAGAGAGAGACATTCACAGCGGTTCGTGGCTATGTTCTCTAGGCATGTACAGCATGTTTGATGCGTGTTGCTGATGACAGTGAACACCATAATAATGAATCCCGTGATCCTGGCCTGACACCTGAAACAAATAAGAAAACCAAGTACCGGATAGGGAGCAAAGATGTGGGCTCTCTGGCTTCCTTGGGGATTGGGTTGAGAAGCACTGGATTAGGACGGGTGGATGGATGGAATAATAAGTGATTTATTGGTAAGTAGTTTTTTATTCGACTTTAAGAAGTCCTTCTATGATTCAGACCCCCCCGTCACCCTGCAGGTCATCGTGGACACGCCCACCAGCCCCGTTACCAGCGGCCTGCCCCTGTTCTTTGTCATCACAGTGACCGCCATCAAACAGGTAAGCCCACACAGCCCCCCGCCGGCCCTCTTCCTGCTGGGGGGCGGGTCAGAGTCTCTCCGCAGGGCGTCGCTGTTAAGCACCCCCCCCTCCTCAGAAGGCGGCCTTCCCAGTCGGGCCGGGTCTCCGTTTGCTGCGCCTGCTTAGCAGTTCAGTTCAGTTCCCTGCTAACATGTAACACACCTCTTCCCCCCCCCCCGCCCAGGGCTTTGAGGACTGGCTGCGTCACAAGGCTGACAACGAGGTGAACAAGTACCCAGTGACAGTGCTGGATGGTGGTCGAAGCACACGCAAGGAGAGCGAGAAGATCAGGGTACGAAGATCAGTGGTCCATCTCAGATGTTTTTCTCATGTGTGTGTGCGTGCGGACGTGTGGACGTGTGTGTGCGTGCAGGGGCAGCCCAACCCTTTTTGGGGCCCTAAGCATAATTTCATTAACCTAGTTTGTCGTTTGTCATCTTCCCTCCCATTCTGACAGGCTGAGCTGATGGGGGGGCCCCCTGGTGGCCGCTGGGCTCTAAGCAGCCTCTTAGTTTGCTTATGCCCTAGAAGGCCCTGCGTGTGCAGACAGGCGTGTATGGCTGTGCGTGTGCAGACAGGCGTGTATGGCTGTGCGTGTGCAGACAGGCGTGTATGGCTGTGCATGTGCATGTGCTGCCTCTTTCCACTATGACGTTAAAGTTTCTCCACACTGCTCTGACCCAAACTCCTCCGGGGTTTGAGGTAAAGGTGACTGCACTTATGGTGGGAGTCTTTAAAGTAGCTGGTATGAAGCAGCTGAGTGGGCTTTAAACTTATGACCACATGGTGCCTAGGTAGGGGACGTGGTGGAGGTGCTGGAGGATGAGACCTTCCCCTGTGACCTGGTCCTGCTGCAGTCCAGTCGTGATGACGGCACCTGCTATGTCACCACAGCCAGCCTGGACGGGGAATCTAACCACAAGGTGAGGGGCCCATCTAGGCTGCCCCCCCCCCCAGGCAGTCTGCAGTGATCTGATGTCCCCCCCACTCTCTTGCAGACACATTACACAGTGCCTGACATAGAGACAGACCTACTACTGCTCAATGCCACCTTAGAATGTGAACAACCTCAGCCAGACCTTTATAAGTAAGTATGTGTGTCTGCGCATGTGTGTTACTGTGTCTCACTCTGTCTGTGTGTGCGTGACTCTGTGTGTGTGTGTGCGTGTCTGTCTCTGTGTGTGCGTGTCTCTGTGTGCGTGACTCTGTGTCTCTGTTGCTGTGCACGCTTTCATTTGGGTTGGCCTCCCTCCTCAGGTTTGTCGGACGGATGTACATCAGGAGAGAAGGCCAGGAACCTGCAGTGCGGTGAGTTCTTGTGCTGCCTCTTTGGGCTCAGACAATCGGACCGAACCCCCCAGCACAACGATCTGCTTTTGTTGTCCTGATGGTTTCCCTTGGTTCACTTCCTGTTCCTGAGTCTACACTGTAGGCAGTGAGCTGCTCTTTGTTCATTCTTTGGCAAATTCCCATAAACCCCAGGTCTCCATTTTCACACCCCTTCACCCATGAATTACTTCTCCATCTGTACTTTATTGATCCATAACTCCAGAGGAGAGTTACAGTAAGGGAGGTGCAGCATCTGCTTTGGAGGGCAATCAGTAATGCTCCCCATAAATGTCAGGGCTGCCTGCTCTATGGTGGGGGGGGGGGAGAGGAGGAGCCAGATTTAACACCAGGACGTCCTCTGAGCCGATGCCCCCTCGCCGGTCTTGTTCTCCTTCCTTAGGTCCCTTGGGCCTGAGAATTTACTCCTGAAAGGAGCGACGCTGAAGAACACCAGTAAAATTTCTGGTGAGTGAGTTTCATTTCTGGTTTGAGGTGCTACTGCTAGTTATAATTCTCCTACAGGATGTGTTCCAGCCCTCCTCCCTGCCCCTGTTGTCCCCACCCCTATTTCAGTTACCCCCCTCTCCCATTTTGGTTGGCCCCTCCACCATAACGGTTGGCCCGTCCTCCATATCAGTTGGCCCCTCCCCTGACACTGACGGCCCCTCCCCTGACACTGACGGCCCCTCCCCTGACACTGACGGCCCCTCCCCTGACACTGACGG